AAATATAAATAGATAAGACTGAGTATGGTGTATTCATAATCATACATATATATATATATAATATAAATATATAAATAAATATATATATATAAAAATATATATATAATAGAAACATATAAATAGAAAACAACGATATATGCTAACCCCTCTAATTCTTTCAGCAACCCAACCGCCTGGCCGCCACTGTCCAGAGTCAAAGTCATAGAAAGGATGACCCGGGTTAATTGACACCCATCGTTGTTTTTGTTTAATTGTTAATTCTGTCTTTAAAGAAGGATAAAATGTATAAACCGGCGGTGAAGACAGCCAACAGCATTCAACTATTAAACCTCCAGCAGCTCCTCGACTGAAACACACACTAGTAATAGTAATAGTAGTAGAAGTAGAAGTAGTACTAGTAGTAGTAGTAATAATAAACTGTAATTCTTTTATTTTATTATGCTATTTAGTATTATCTTTTTTGTTTATTTATTATCTTTATTAATTTATTAATTAATTAATTAATTAATTAATTAATTAATTTATTAATTCGTTAGTTAGTTAGTTATATTTATTTATTTATTTATTCGTTTATTAAATAATTAATAAATTTATCTATTTATCTACTTATTAATTTATTTATTTACTTATTTATTTACTTATTTGTGCATTTATTTGTATATACTTACATAAATTAATAAATTAATTTATTAATATATTACTAAATAAACCCATGAAGTAATTAATTTATTAATTTATTTAATAATACATAAATACATAAATTAATAAATAATGAATTAATGCATAACTACGTTAATTAATATATTAATTAATTATTAAATTAATCAGTGAAGATATAGTTTATTAGTTTTAATAACAAATAAATAAATTTGGGAGGCAAACATCGAATAGAAATAAATAAATTAATAGATGGTCCTTCATTAAAAACTTAGAGATTAAAAAAACTAAGACAACCAATAAATAAATAATAAATAAATAAATTAATTAATTAATTAATTGCATTTGTTAATTAATTATATTATTTAATTAATCAATATATCAAAAAAATAAATTAATTAAGCAAACAATTCAAATAATACTTCATAAGTAAAGGCGGTGAGAAGTAAACAGACAAAAGCTCTGTATTAAATAAATACTTAATTAACTCTCTCTATTAATATAAACATAATTTCAATTAATAATATTAATAATAATGAAACACTTTATTAATAAATAATAAAATAATAAGTTAATAATATTTTTCTATCAGTACTTTCAGCGTTTAATGTATTTAATTGATTTAAAAGAATTACAAATTAATTAAATAGTCAAAACAAAATATTTATTTATTTATCTAATTAATTAATTAATTAATTAATTAATTAATTAATTAATTAATATCTCTCACCAAGCCATCGCATACAACTCTTTGTACAAGTCTCCGTAAGGAGCTAACAAAGAACCAGCAAATGTTCTTAAACCCTAAAATAAATAAATAAATAAATAAAATAAATAAAATAAATAAATAAATAAAATAGATAAAATAAATAAATAAAATAAATAAAATAAAGGTTATTTATTACTATTATTGCTGCTATGAGGAGACAACAAAGAACCAGCAAAAGTTCTTTAACCCTAAAATAAATAAAAAAATAAACTTTAAAAATATAAATAAATAAATAAATAAATATATTAATAAAAGAAATATTATTATTATTGTTATTATGAGGGTGCAGGAAGGAAGCAGCAAATGTTTGTAGACCCTGAAATAAATAAAATAAAAAATTATTATTATTATTTAGCTGTACGATTATTATTAATAAGCATCATCATTGTGTTAAGATATACATTAACATATATATATGTAATATATATTATATACATATGCTAATATATATAATATATATTAATATATACAATATATATAATGTATATTTGTTTTACTCTGTAAGAAGTGTAGAGTATGAAGACTTGCGGCATTCTTTATATGTACACACATATAACACATATATTTAATTAAATTAATATATATAATGAATATAATATATATATATATATTTATTTATATTACTCTGTAAGAAGCGTAGAGTATGAAGACTTGCGGCATGCCGTCTAAGTCGTAGACTGGCTCAATGCTAAAGTCTGCCTGAGCAAAAATAATAAAATAAATTTACAAATATAAAAATAAATAAATTTAAAATAAATTTAAAATAACTCAAATTCAATATGCAGGCGCCAAGCAAATGAAAATGTAAATGCTGCTGCTACTGCTGTTGCTTTTGCTGCTGCTGATGCTGCTGTTGCTGCTGCTGCTGTTGATCCATCGCTAGAAACAATACACTGCCTTAGGTACGACAGCTAAAGTAGCAACAGCAGCAACAGCAGCATTAGCAGCATCAGCTGCAGCATCTAATATATCAGCAGCAAGAGCAGCAGCAGCAGCATCCAATCCCTCAGCAGCAGCATCAGCATCAGCAGCAGCAGGACCACCATCAGCAGCATCAGCAGCAGGAGCACCATCAGCAGCACCATCAGCAGCAACAGCAGCACCATCAGCAGCAGCAGGAGAACCAGCAACATCAGCAGCAGCAGCATCAGCATCAGCATCAGCATCAGGATAACTAGAAGTAATATTTACAGTATTAAGATGAGGAGGCTTCCACTTAAGAAGAAGCGGCGATGTCCCGGCAATGTACGGCAGCGAGACGGGCGTAAATATCAAACCGTCAGAGATGTGCGGCAGTCGCAGAGACAGACGCCTCACAGACTCCAAATCAAACACTTCAAAGAAATCCTACACGTCCAATAAACATATTAATTAATTATTTAACTAATTATATTTACTATTAATTAATTAATTAATTAATTAATTATATTTACTATTAATTAATTAATTAATTATATTTACTATTAATTAATTAGTCAATTATATTTACTATTAATTAATTAATTAATTGATTAATCAATTATATTTACTATTAATTAATTAATTAATGATATGTAATATTAATTAATTAATTAATTAATGATATGTACTATTAATTAATTAATTAATTAATTAATATCTATTTTATATATGTACATCTTAAATTTAAAAGGTTGATTAATAATCAAAAACGTAAATTTATATTTTTTGCGTCTCACCTTTAAATATATTTCCATTGGCGGCTCTTCGTGTGTTGCTGTTGCTGCTGCTATTAGCTGCTGCTGCTGTTGCTGCTGCTGTTGCTGCTGCTGCTGCTGTTGCTTCTGTCTTTCTAATAGGCGTTGAAGCGGCTCAAGCACTCGCGTTTTTGCTAACTGCAATCTCTTTAAAAGATTTAACTTTTGTACTTCTTCATCTCCTTCTACTGTCATACAATCGTAAATTAAATATCGCCACTTAAATTGTCCGTCCTTTAAACGGTCCTAAGCATTAACAATTCAAACAATTAAATAATAATTATAATAATTATTATAATTATAATAATTATTACTATAGTTATAATAGTTATAATAATAATGATAATAATAATAATTATTATTATAGTTATATTGATAATTATTAACAAATCAAACAATTAAATAATAATAATGATAATAATAATAATAATAATAATAATAATTATTATTATTATAGTTATATTGATAGACAAACGAATAAATAAATAAAATAAATAAATACATTAATTAATTAATTAATTAATTAGATATTATTACGAAGCTTACTGCTACAAGCTCTCCATCTAACAAAGTTATTTCTTGTGCTTCTCGTATATTCACCGCCCGAGGCAGATACATACTATCTATCTGTCGCACCTGAGTAATAATAATAATAATAATAATAATAATAATTTATAATAATAATAATAAATAATAATAATAATAAATAATAATAATAATAAATAATAATTATAATAACAATAACAATCATAAGGAATAGTAAAAATAAATTATAATACTAAATAATAATAAATAGCAAAAAAATAATAAAAAAATAATACACAATAATAAAAATAAATAGTAATAAATAATAAATAATAATCATCATCGCAATATATAAGTTTAACTCTCTATATTTTAAAATATACAAATCCACGCACCAGCACCAGCAGCAGCAGCAACAGCAGCAAAAGCAGCAGCACTAGCAACAGCAGAAGCAGCAGCAGTAGCAGCAGCAACAGCAGCAAAAGGAGCAGCACGGCTGCTGCGGTGTAAGCAGGTGAAGCGCTTATATTATTCTGCTTCTAATATTATCTCACTATGCACCAAACTCCAGCAGCAGCAGCAGCAGCAGCAGCGCCTGCTGCTGCATGTGCACAAGCATTCAACAGCAACAGGCACGAGCAGCAGCAGCAGCAGCAGCAGCTACAGCAGCAGCAACTACAGAAGCAGCAACAGCAGCAGCAACTACAGAAGCAGCAGCAACGGAAGCAGCAGCAGCAGCAGCAGCAGCAGCAGCAGAGAGCGGCTGAAGCTAAAAGAGCAGCAGATTGAGGTGTATGTACACCTCATCTTTTCTCCCAATTAAATATATTTTTTTGTCTGCTGCATATAATAAAAAACGGATGCCGTCTGTCTTCTCGCAGGCGACGTAAGCATTTCTAAATAACTCTGAAGCAGCAACAAAAACAAACCCTAAACCCTAAACCCTAAACCCTAGACCCCACTACGGTAACCTAAACCCTAAACCCTAAACCCTAAACCCTAAACCCTAAAACCCTAAACCCTAAAACCCTAAACCCATACCCTTAACCCAAAATAATAAACCCTTAATCCTATGTAATAAACCCCACCCCACAAACCCTAAACCCTAAACCCTAAACCCTAAACCCTAAACCCTAACACCTTAACCCCACACCAACCCCCCAAACCCTAAACCCTAAACCCTAAACCCTAAACCCTAGAAGCAATACCTGCCATATTTTGAAAGGAGAGTGAGACAGGCTGACCCCCCGGAAAAGTATTTCTCTTCCACTTCAATATTCGTTTAACTGCTGCTTTTACTGGTTTTGCTGCTGCAGCAGAAAACCTCAGCGCGT